CTTATAGGGTAGGGTTGTACACAGAGCAACAGAAGGAGCTAGCACCATGTACACAATAGAGAAGTGAGAACTAAAACAGTGCCAAGAGGAGAAAAGCCACTCCATCAGTGAAGTGGAGGAATTGGATGGGGATTGTAAAGAATGTGGAACCTTCCTTCACCCATGTTCTACTCTAGAGTGGCTACACTATCCCTCTATGCATCCATCATCTGCTGGGTGTTCCCCTAAGCTAGGTGTCCCTTTGACCCATCCACTTCTAACACATCAGTGCAATAGTAATGATGAATAGAGTATGTGAATGGGCAAAGAGTACAAAGAATGTGAACTTGGCAGTGAGAAAAAGCACCAAACTAACAATGCAGTAGGATAATGGAACAGAGCATGTGAATAGGACAAAGAGCAATAACCACACCACATCACTGCAGGCGAATAAGTAGACAAGGTAAATATGAAGAGCTTCACATCTCTTACTTAGTACCATAACTGGGAAGAATATTTTATGGACACGAATAGGACGTACCTTGAAAAAGCAGTTCACTGGTTGAACTGAACTAGGCAAAGAGGATGCCATCAGTGCAGTGTTGTGACTGTACAGTGTATGTGTATGGGGCAGTTAGCAGGAGCCCAGCCACCTCAAAACAGTGGAGTAGCTGGGAAGACATGTGCCCAGCACACTGCTCTGATGAGCTTAGGCTTCCAGCTTCCACTCTTTGGGGGAAGCTCAAATTGCAGATAATGCAATTCCCTACTAAGTCAATGAATCATGGTGCAGTTGTACAGTGCTCAGAATAATTACAAGTCTGGCTTCAAGGCCATGTGATTTACAGTCACAGTGTCCTAAAATACTGTAACTGCAAGAGACTGGTCTGCTTCCTAGGGCACGAGGTGACCTGACAAGCACAACTGAGACAGTACTAGAAAAGTAAGTCTTCTGATGTCCTGCTCAGTGCTTGTCATTAATTGATCTTTTCATATATCACTAAAAACTCTAAATGCAGTGCTTGCTTTGGCAGCACATATACTAAAATTGGAAAGATACAGAGAAGATTAGCATGGCCCTTGCGCAAGGATGACACGCAAATTCGTGAAGTGTTCCATATTTTTGTATGGAAAGTGAATTTGCTCTGTAAATCTTCACCCAAATCACAATAATAGGAAAAAAAAAAAAAAAAAACTCTAAATGCAGAGGTCCTTGTGGTAGCTCACTTTGTGTGTCAACTTGGCTGGGCCTGGTTGAGTGGCTGGGCAGCTGGATGTAGTATTCCCCACGATGAGACTGGTAATCAACTCCATGGTGGAATCTACTGGGAGCAGCTGAGTAGCTGCCTTAGGGATGTGGTCTGCTTCCTGTATATAAGCAGAAGCCTTGGGTATAGTCTCCAGCTTATGGCATGCTTGAGCCCTGCATGTAGCTGTGTCATTTTTCAGCAACCTGCCATGCTCTGCTGACCTTAGGACTTTCAATGGACTTGACTT